CGGAGGAGGGCGAGCCGGTCCCCCTAGGGCCCCAATTCCTGGCCACCTGCAGCTCCAGACCCTCCCACAGCCCCAGGAGCCAGCGAGCCTGAGCTTCCCTCTGGCCGGGAACCCTCCTCGCTGGTCAGGTCCCAGCCTGTGGCGCGTGCCCGCCGCTTCTTCGCTGCCTTGTCACTCCTCTTGGGGCTTGAGTGTCCTGCACAAGTATCATTCTGGAGACTACTCGCACCCGACAACAGCAGCGTGAATGTGCTACAACTTATGCCCTGTGGACGTTGTGGTTGTGCAGCAAATCACCCTGAAACTTACTTGCTTGAAGCTGTTCTCTCTCAGCTTTTGAGGGCCAGCGTTCTACTAGAGTGGTTTGCAGGGCTCAGGCCCGGAGCCCCTTACACAGCTGCAGCCAGGCTCTACAGGGGGCAGAGGCCGGCTGCCCTGGGCCTTGGCGCTCGCTGGGTCGCCCACAGGACGCGGGCTGAAGCTCTGCGCTCCCCAGCTGCTGTCTGGAGGTCACTCTGTCCTGTTGTGTGAGCCCCACACGAACGAACGAGCAAGGGTGAGAGGGAGTGAGCCAGAACTTGAATGTGTTGTAACCTCACGTCAGAGTGGCAGCTGGGCTCGGCAGGGGCTGAACAGCTGCCTCTGTGCTCACTGCAATGTCATGAGTATTTATAGTTCCCCTTTAGCTAATAAAATTATATTACTAGGAACATTGTTTATTTCTTGATATATATTTGTACAGTTTCTGAATCATGTGGCATAATGTTGACTTTAGTAAAAACGTGTCAATTTCTTCTGAGGTGCTCTTTCTGGCCTGCACTCCGAGCAGCTTAGGTGCACTCCTGTTGGTCCCCACCCTGGCTCCAGGTAGCACAGTCACTCTGTGTGACGTTACTTGGCATTGGTGTGGTGTTACAGTGGTGCTTGCTTAACCTCCTATGGTGGAAATGGTCCACAGACGCAAAGGCAGAAGGAATGGTATAAGGAATATGTCCCTTCGCACCAACCACCCAGCTTCAAATAGCTACCGAGGTCTTATTGCAAAAGGGTCGAGTTCATACTACTCCTAAAAATACTTGTCCTGAGTGTCTCATGGACAAGGACATTGAGTAGTACATGTATAATCACATTAGTCCAAATTCCCCCCAAATGTTCACTACGCGCTGACGCCAAATGCTTCGGAGGACGTGGAGCCACAGCAGCTCTCGCTACGTGCTGGGGGACGGCAGCGCAGGCCAGTGCTCCGAGACACCGTGGCAACAGCAGTGGCCGCAGTGTCGGGCCCACGTAGGGCACAAAAAGGCAGAGGAAATGGTCCACTAGCTGCCCACGTCTCTTCATCCCACTGGGTTTGGGATGCAGGCAAAAGGGCCAGCAATGATACCACGCTGATCCCCACGAGGCGCCACATGTGCTGGAAGGACCCTGAAGTACTGCGCTCCGTTCCACTCTTGTAGCGCCTCAGTTTGTTCATATTCCAAGTATTTTACACCTATCAGATTCTTGAGGCAATAATGAAAGGCACAAAATGGTTTGTGGGCTTTGCAAGACCAGAGAAGGGTCCTTAGTTGTTCCTATTCCTGTGTGACTCTCCCATTCAGAGCTGGACACTGGAGAGGGACACGCAGCTGCAGCGCTGGGCAGCCCGGGGACTAGTGGCTGCCAAATCCCACAGCCTTGGCACAGGCTTGGAAGCCTGTTCGCATGACATATGCACGTCCCTGCGGCGAGAAGTCTGAGTGCGGAGGAAAGACGCTGTGGACACGCAGCCCCGCTAGTCCTCGATTTGGGTGCTGAGGGACACAAGGGATGGAGGAGGGACAACCTGCCTAGGCACTGGCTCTGCTGACTGCGCGGGGAAGGAAGCGTGTGAAGACAAGCCCTAACCCAGCCACTGGAGGATTCTCCGCTAATTCTGCGTGCTGTGAGCCAGATGAGGCTGCGAGCCGGCCGGCTCTCAGCCCGCCAGGCCAGGAGGAACAGCTCACAGCAAGTGAGTGAAAGCTGAGTCAACAACAGAGAAGAAGGTCCGCGATTGCTCACCCACAGCTGCCAATAGGTCCCCACCCCTGCGCAGTCTCCATTTGATAAGGCTTACAAATTTTTGAATTATTTTGGCAGTGATATATGAGCTAGGAGAAAAAAACGGAATTTTTTATGCACACATAGTACTAACAGCTGGAAGAGATTTGCAATAAATATTAACACTGACCTCTTTAGTTTTACAAAGTTTAAGCTTTCCTCAGTTTGTCAAGTTTTCTATTCCTTATTTGCTGGTATGTTTAAACACTTTAAGATTTTTTTTTTTAATTTTTTTATTTTTCTCATTCAGAATGAAATTCAGAAAGACACATTAAAGGAAGTCATGTTCTGTGTTTTCCACCCTGCGTCCCCCAGCGTCCTGCTCCTCGGTACCGGCGCTGTGCTTGCGCTCTCACAGAACGGCGAGGAAAGCACCGGGCACTGGGCACTAGCAATGAACGGGCCGCGCGAGCCCATACTTGCGCGTTTATCTTCCTACCGCACAGCCCGACAGTGCACAGGAAACTATTAGCGTGGCTTTTTCTAAGATGAACCGGACAGATACAATTGAAAAGAGTGAAAAGCTTTTATTCACTAATGACCTCGCATAACAGAGACACGTGGGTGATTAGTAAGCGTGTAGGAGGGCGGCAAGAGCCAGGGAGTGAAAAACCACAGACAGCAAAAGTGGAAGGAGGGTCGGTCCTTGTGCAACCCGCTGCCCTTACCGGAGCTAGGCTCCTGTCCTTCCAAGAGGCTGGGAGGTTGATACAGGACAAATCCGTTCAGCAGCCTCAGCGGGACTTCTTGGGCACGAACAGGAAGGATGGAGAAGTGATGTGTCTGTTCAGGCTGGGAACTAGCGAGAGGTCTCAGAAGAGGCGGGCTGCAGTTTGGTCATGGAGAGAACCTGTTGGGTAAATCGGGAAAGCGGACAGCGCGCGAATTTGCAACCATGTGTATGCAGTCGTTAAGCCCAAGCGATGAAATCAAAGTCCTAATGGAAAACCACAGCTAAACCAGTTCTGCCGCATCACCCACAATGGCCACGAGAGGGCGACAACCTTCCACAGGGCAATGGGGAGGAAGCGGGCCTGCAGCGCCCTGGCGTCCCCGCCAGGAGCCGAGCAGCCTCTCGGGTCGCTGGGTGCGGGAGCCTTAACTTCCCTGAAGAGACCTTGATTCCTCTTAGTGTGATCACTTGCTGACCGAAAGAAAAACGTGTCCGTTAACTGGCCTCTCTAAACCTTTTCCAGGCGAGCGAACGGCGTGCTCACGGCAGGCGTGAAGCCTGGCGGGGCCGAGGCTCAGGGATCGCTGCAGCCCAGGTCCCAGCCCTGGGCTCGGCTGCCACCCACCGAGGGGTCCCTCGTGTCCACCGCAGGCGGGGCAGGGGCGGGGCCGTGGCCCAGCAGGCGGTACCCAGAGGCAGCGCAACAGCGGCGGGGCGGGCCGCGCGGCCGAACTGCACACCGAGCGACCCGCAACACATTCGCTGCCTGATTCTTAAGCAACCTCCAACTGATTCGAAGTTTTTCTTCTGTGACTTCATCCGAGTGCGAGCTCCTCAGCTGCGCGCATGGCGTCGGCTTGCTCTTCCTCTTGAGTAGATTTTGCTCCATAGCGTTTAGCCGACTCCCCAGCAGCTGCGTACAACGACAACAGGACGCCGCCTGATGGAGGATGGCGCGCTCTCAGGACGTTTCTCTGAAAAGGGTGAGGAGAAGAAGTGTTTTCTAAACAGCAATGAAGTCATCCTGCCTTTAAATTTAAACTTAAAGGTTCTTAACATCTCGTGCTGGGCCCTGTTCGCGCACGCCGCACCCAGGATCAGAGCTGCAGAGCACACCGACTCAGACTCCGCTGGACGGCGGCCTCTGAACTTGAAGGCCGCCTGCATGAGGGGCGCGCCGGCCGGCCGGCCCTCCCGGGAAGGCTGAGGGCGCCGGGAAGCTCGGGCCGACCCGCCTCGCTCCCCCGCGGCCTTGAAGTCCATCTTCAGCACTGCACATTGGAAAACGACTCAGGCCTTGGCCATCTGTGCGTGCTCACCTCTGCTCTACAAGGTGTCGAAAGGGTCAAAGATGTGAAATGCGCTATGAAAGTTAGCTAATCATCACACCAAAATACTAGTAATCACACTGATGGTGTTAGCTACAGCGTAAGGGAAAGCGAAGCACATTTAAGTCTAGAATAGGTGTCTGTCCCAGCGGAAGGAAATGCCTGCCTTATCGCAGCCGAAGTACCCGAAGGAATGGAGGAGCGCCTGCCCCGCACATGGGACCCCTGGCCGCCGGACCCCAAGGCAGCCTCCGCGGTCGCTGCCCTGGTCATCCTGTTCACAAGCTGCTCAGGCAGCCGGGCAGCGGAGGAGAGACAACACCCGCCTGGCTACGGCCACAAACCTGTATGACTGACGCTTGGGACCGCTCTGGAAGGTCCATCCTCGTCACTTCCCAAATCCTCCTGCGCATGAACCTCCACTTTGGCCCAGTTCAAACAGCCGTCCACCCGGACAACCCGTGCGCACCAGTCAGCTGGGTCAGTATCTTACATCAGCCTCCGTCCAGGAAAAGCAGACACGAGACTCCAGATCCTGCCCAGAGGCAAGGATGCTCTCCCGCGGGTCACAGCTCCCGACTGTTTCTACTACTGCGGTCACCAGTGCTGGCAGAAGCGTTCAGTCCTGTTCGTCCAATGCTTATTTTACGCAGGTCATTATTCTAAGCATACGAAGAGTATCACCTGTGAGACGCTACTACACCTCCATTTTCACTAGAAAGCTGGACAAGAGCCAGAGAGAGCACCCTACCAATGCTTTGCAGTAGGTGGCAGGGGCAAGTTTGGACCCTGGATAGTCTCACTCAGTGACTCACTGGAAACGTCTCATGTCCTTTAGTTACAACGTTCAGTAGAAATACCAGAATGTGAGCCCTCACTCGCCCGAGCAATTACTTTCTCCTCAGTCCCTGCTCAGGCTGACTTCTACGTAGCTCACGAGGCTCTGGCGCTAACGATGCAGCAACGTACAGGACCCGTGGGAAGGACTCGCGGGCCCTCCAGCTTCCCAGTGTCCAGTGTCCACTGCAGTTTCCATAGTAAATGACTAGAAGATTCATTCAAGTTCTGGAAAAACCCAGGCTTGGATTTAACATAATTTAAAAACGTTAAAATTAAACATTGGCTGGGCCTGGTGGTGCACACTTGTAACCCCAGCACTGTGGAGGTTGGGGCAGGAAGATCCCCTTAAGTTTGAGGTCAGCATGGATTACATAAGCGAGATCAAGGCCAGGCTGTGAGACCTCGACACAGGGAGACCCTCTCCCAAAATAAAACAAAAAAATAAAATTTAAAAATCCATCTTTACTTCCAAGTGCAAAATATAAATGTCTTTATGCAATGCAGACTCTAAACAGCTGCATAGCCAAACTTGGAAGACAGTATCAGGAAAAATGACACTCCAAAATTAAAATACATCACTCAAATCAATGGGTATTTTGTCAATATATTATCGCTATATCTATATGTGTGTGTGTGTGTTCACTATCAAAAAATTGAAGATAAAGTTTGACAAAAATGTACATTATTAAGCTAACTTTAACATACCAAAGATAATGGTTTCACTGGCTAGCTGCATGGTACCAAACTCTAGGCCCACCTACCTTCTAGCAGATGTTTAAACACATCTCTGTCTACCCAGGGTTTTGGGTATCTTGATTACAATAATAATTGTCAATTAGCTTTTAAAAAAAAAATATGTACACAGAGGCTGGGGCCATAGATGGGCTGTCTATGTGCCTGCCTTGCAAGCGCAAGGACCCTGGCTCGATCCCCAGTACGGCACGCCCTGCCACACACAGTGCTGGCCACAGAAACCAGGTGTGCGCTACCCAGGGCTGGGAGGCTGAGACAGGAGGATCACTAGGAGCCCAAGCTGCACTGGAGACCCTGCACCAAAGAAATAAAAGATTTT